CAGAGCGATCCGTTGTTTGTTTCTCCCGACTCCTTTCCCTTCACTTATCTGGCTTTGCCACATTGAACCCAAACTTGCCTCCAGTCTTATCTGGCCCCCGGGCTGGGCCGTCCCGTGTGCGTTTTCTATCTGCCGTCTGCAGCCGCAGGGCCAGAAGGGACCTTAGGGGCCATTCCCTCCACGCCCTGCCAATGGTCACTTGCGTTTTGTGACCTGGGTAAACAGGGAGGTGACAAAATTTGCAGATGATACCAATCTGATAGCTTTCTTTGATAGGATAACGAGCCTTGTGGAGAAGGGAGAAGCGGTGGTTGTGGTATACCTAGACTTTAGTAAGGGGTTTGATACGGTCTCGCATGATATTCTTATTGATAAACTAGGGAAACACAACCTAGATGGGGCTACTATAAGGTGGGTGAATAACCGGCTGGATAACCGTACTCAGAGAGTCGTTATGAACGGTTCACAGTCCTGCTGGCAGGGCAGAACAAGGGGGGCTCCGCAGGGGTCTGGTTTGGGGCCGTTTCTGTTCAAGATCTTCATCAACGATTTAGATATCGGCATAGAGAGGAGGCTTATTAAGTTGCAGAAGATCCCACGCTGGGAGGAGTTGTGAGTGCTTTGGAGGACGGGTCAGAATTGGAACTGATCTGGACACACTGGAGAAATGGTCGGAGCTCAATAGGATGATGTCGAATAAGGAAAATGCAAAGTGCTCCACTTAGGAAGGAACAATCCGTGTCTCACACACACAGAACGGGAAGCGACTGTCTAGGAAGGAGTCCGGCAGAAAGGGATCTAGGGGTCAGAGTGGACTTACGCAAAATAGGAGTCAACAGTGTGATGCTGTTGCAAAAAAAAAGCCAACAGGATTCTGGGCGGCCTGAACCATTCTTCCATTCTATTCTGCGTTGGTCAGGCCTCAATTGGAGTACTGTGTCCACTTCTGGGCACCACATTTCAAGAAAGATGTGGAGAAATTGGAGAAGGTCCAGAGAAGAGCAACAAGAATGATTAAAGGTCTAGAGAACATGACCTATGAAGGAAGGCTGAAACTGGGCTTGTTTAATTTGGAAAGGAGAAACAGAGGGGACATGATAGCAGTTTTCAGGTATCGAAAAGGGTGTCACAAAAAGGAGGGAAAAAACTTGTTCCCCTTGGCCTCTGAGGACAGGACAAGGAGCAATGGGCTTAAACTGCAGCAAGGGAGGGTGAGGTTGGACATTAGGAAAAACTTCCTCACTGTCTGGGGGGTGACACACTGGAATAAATTGCCCAGGGTGGTTGTGGAGTCTCCGTCCCTGGAGATATTGAAGAACAGGTTGGACAGACGCCTGCCAGGGATGATCTAGCCGGTGCTTGGTTCTGCTGTGGGGACAGAGGACTGGACTCAATGCCCCTCCCTGTTCTAGTGCTCAGTGACTCTACGATTCTGGTGCAGCTGTTACCAGATTTGCCCAGTACCCTGGGGTATGCTCATTTATCAGGGTTACCCTTATGGGACTGGGGGCAGGTTAATAGTTCTATCAGGGTGCTGTTGGTGCTTACTTGGGCTCTCATATGGGGCTGAATTCTCCCTGCTGCCAATTCCCCCTCCCACTGGAGCTCTCCTGCAGGAACTAGGTTCCTCAGGACGGGTTCTTCCCACCTTAGCAACACACACAGACACTCACCCCCACTAACAGAGCACGTCTGAGAGGACTGGGTACTCAGTACTCACACGCTGACCCCCTCGTATGTCCCTGGACTCAGCTGGCTGGTTTCACAGCAATGCCACACTGCACCCTCATGTGCCTTTGGACTCCGTGGGCTGGATTAAACAGCACTTTAAGCTGCCATCCTCATGCACCCCCAGGTTCAGCACCCCCTATCCCCACTTTCACACCACAGTCATTCACCGGTAAACCACACGATGAGCAAACCCCACAGGATTTTGGGCACTCCAGGGATCTTTCGCTTGGGTACAAGAAGCGTTGTTGCAGAGCGAACGGGGAAGCCAAAACAACCCCCCTTAAGGAAGAGTGAGCAAAAGAGAAAGAAAGAGAGAGAAGCAACCAGCTTGACAATGAAAGTGATTTATTTCTGAGTAGTGAATAGATATCAAACAGTTACAATATTAAATCTAACAATTACAATATTAAATCTAAATTGAAACTTCCCAGAGCCCAGGAATCCAGAGGGAGAAACAGCCTGACTAGGGCAAGGTCAGGAGGCTATGCTTAGAGAGATAGTTGAGAGAGAGAAAGAGAGAGAGAGAGAGAGACCTCACCACTCCACGGAGCTTGCACTGATCGGGGTTCCCAGATGATGATGGGAGCCGGGGGTCCAGAGGGCAGGAGAGAAGCAGGACAGAGCCCCCAGCACGATCAGACAGGAGATGAAGAAGTCTCAATGGAACTGATGCAGTTTAAGTCCAGGTATCAGAACAGTTTTCTTGGGGCAAGGAGAGGAGTTTTTATAGGGATAGTTCAAAGAGAAAGAGGAGAGACAATAGAGACTGATCACCCCTGGTTATGGGGGATGTTCCTTGAACGAGCTCACAAAGCAACTAGGCAGTTTCAGTATTTTAGGTGTCAATAGGATCGTTACTAGAATTGGTCTGATGATGACTAATTTGGGTGTGAGCAGGCCTAGGTTCATTAGCATCTGGAGCAGGGATTTCCCATCAGGCAGTGCTTCTCTGCTTTCGGTGTCCCATAGTTCACTGCGGTTCCTGCCTTGGAAGAGCTGCTCTCCATTCTGTATGCTAATGAGATGTCCCTCTGTTCCATCTTTAATGTAAATGAGGCTGGGGTGTTTCCTTAATTGTATCACCCTTGTCTGAAGCAGTTTAGGTGTGTCTTCCCTGGCCTTTTCTTTGCTTTGTCTTTGATTCTAGCAGAGGCCTGAGGGAGGGGGATGGTTTCCCATGAGTGTCACTCCCTGACTCCCCACGAGCACAAGGCTGACAGGCGACCATGTTCTGGTTCCCCAAGAATCACAGAGCCCATCTGGGAGTGTCCCACCTGCACCCCTGCTGCGCCGGCCGTCTCTTTGCCAGAGCGGGGAACCGGGGCCCCTCTGCTCTGGGTCTGTGGGTACCGGGCAGTGCGCTAGTGGTCGTATCACTGAGCCATGGGCCGGGCCGGGAGATTCAAGCGGCCGAGGGGCTGTCGCTGCCTCCCCCTCACTCGCCCGCTGGTTTGTTGTTGCTCCTGTTCCCCCAGGCCCAGCGACGATGACGGGGAAGGATCCCGCGTCCCCCCCTGGCTCCGCGCTGCCCGGATACCTCACGCTCTGCCTCCTGCTGTGGGCTCCCAGGCTGGCCCCAGGTAGGTGCTCCGGCCTGCTCCTTTCCAAGTGGATATCCCTGTCTGTTCAACCCTGCCAAGGACATGGAGGAACGCCCGGGCACAGCTGGGGGCCCAGTAACCGCGTCTGCTACCGACACAGGGCCCCTGGGGTGTCCCCTGTGGTGCTTCTGTAACCCACACACTGCCGGGTGTGGGGCACGGCCCTAGCTCGTGGCACTGAGACCCCTAAAAGTGACGATAATACCTCTGCCCTACAGCCTTAGCCGGGCGCTCGCTGGCTTTTTCGCTCACCCTCCTGCACTAATTCCAGAGGCCCCAGGTTCAAATCCACCCAAGGGCGGTTATGCGGGCACCCTGGGGGCCGGGTTCCTCAGCTTCCTTTCTCCTTGGCTTTCTCCTCCAGTGATCCCTCCCGTCGCCCATTCCCAGCCTCTGAAAAACAGGCTGGGGACACCATCCCTACTCACCCTAATAGCAAGGGCTCAACAAATCCGCGTATCTACTCGCCCCGTGGTGAGTAGATTTCAGCCGGTCGCCCCATTCACCGGCGGTGCGGGTCTCGCACATGCACAGTGAAGGGCTGGCGAGTGGTTTTCGCCGCAATCGTCAAGCCCTGCTAACAGCCATTGATGGACCTAACCTCCATGAATGTATCTAGTTCATTTTTGAACCCTGAAGTCCTAGTCGTCACAGCATCCTCCGGCGAGGAGTTCCACAGGTTGGCTGTGCGCTGGGTGAAGAAAAACTTCCTTTGGTTTCTTTTAAACCTGCTACCTATTCATTTCATTGGGTGACCCCTAGTTGTTATATTATGGGAACAAGTCAATCATTTTCCTTATTCACTTTTTCCACACCACTCATGGTTTTATACACCTCTCCCCCCATTGTCTCCTCTTTTCTAAGCTGAAAAGTAACAGACTTTTTAATCTCTCTTCCTATGGGTCCTGTTCCAAACCCCTCCGCATTTTTGTTGCCCTTTTCTGAACCTTTTCCAAGGCCAAGGGAGATTTTTGGAGACGAAGCGACGACATCTGCATGCGGGATTCAAGCTGTGGGCGTCCCATGGATTTATACAGAGGAAATAAATTTATACAGAGGGGTCACTGTCTTATTCTCTACCCCGTTTTTAATGATTCCTAACGTTGTCTGCTTTTTGGACATGGAGTGGATGTTTGCAGAGAACTATCCATAGTCACTCCAAGTGAAAGTTTTCTCCTTGTCTGTTTCCCAGCACAATTCACAGTGATGGGACCTAAGTGCCCCATCGCTGCCTCCCTGGGTGGGGAGGCCGTCCTGTCCTGCCACCTCTCCCCCCGGATGAGCGCCGAGAGCATGGAGGTGAGGTGGTTCCGATCCCAGTTCTCTGCAGTTGTGCATCTGTACCGCGACGGGCAGGACCAGTTCGGAGAGCAGATGCCGGAGTACCGAGGGAGAACGGAGCTCTTGAAACACAACATCGCCGACGGGAAAGTTTCCCTGAGAATACGCGATATCCGGCCCTCCGACGAGGGGCAGTACACGTGTTTGTTCCAGTCCGGTGACTTTTATGAGGAAGCTTTATTGGAAGTGCAGGTGCCAGGTCAGTTACATTGTTTCCGAAACTCTGAAAACCCCGACTGGTGCTTGGATTGTGACTCGCCGGAGTCTGGGGTGGGGTTAGTGGCCCAAATTTGACATTTGAGCCGGGGGTTAATGAGACACACAAACACCGCTAACCGGTCAGGTGACACTAACGCGTTGTGGTTATTCCCGTGACTTTGTGCACTCCTGGGGCTGAGCTTAGGTTTTGGGGGACTTTGGCGGGGCCCCACTTCTGCATTTATCATGCCAGAGAGGGGAAGGAGCCTATGACCCTGCAAAAGGGCTTTTTCGACAGAGGTGTCCACACTGAACGGACGCTCTCTCTCACGCCAGCTGTGATCGCTATGGGCGGAGTGGCCACCAGGGCCCTGTGCTTTTTCCTCTTCCCTCTTCTTCCGAAAGAACTCCCTCTTCCCCAGCCACACACGCCTTTTCCCGAAAGTGCTCTTCTGCAAAAAGGCTTCTTCCTTGTAGAAAGGTTTGCTGATGTTGGAAATACCCCTCTGGTCTTTTGATTTTTCTTGAAAGAACGTAATTGCAGTGTGGATGGAAGTGAAGTTTTTCTGCAAAAACTCTGCAGTGTAGACCCAGCCGTAGTCCCAGCAACACCCGCTGCAGGGCCCTGCCTTGTGGGGTGCGTGTTTGCTCCCACGTCAATGACACTTTCTCTTGCAGACCTGCTTATCCCATGGGACAACCCCTGGAAGGCGGGTCTCGGTGTGATCCTGGCTCTTTGGTTTGTTCTCATCGCCCTGGCCAGTTACTGCTTCTGGAGGCAGCACCGAGCGAAAGGTGATGTCAGGAGAGGGATGGTGGGAGGGGGGAAGGGCAGGATTGGTGAGAGGGATTTAAACAAATCCCAGAGTAGAGCTGTCGGGAGGAGGGTTTTGATTCAGTGTCCGGAGGAGCTGCAGGCAGGGGAGCCGGGCTGAGGGGGAGGAGGGAGCTGAATAGCTTAAGCCTGAACCGAGTTGTGTCAAGTGGTTTCACCCTTCAGCTCCCACGATTGATCCCGGCTCCGGCTGGGGCCAGGAGCTACCCCCGCTGGGGCTCTGCAGCTACTGAATTCCCATCCTGCACCTCACCCCACGGCCTTGCTCCTGGCTTCACGGGGTTAACACTGTCCGGTTGCGGAGGGACCCCCTTAGCTCTGGCCCGGTGGCTGGACGGGTCCTGATTTTCATCCCCTGCCCAGTCCTGCGCTGCCCGGGAGGTGCTGGGTCTGGCTGATGATGCAGGCTCATCCAGACTCAGTTTAAGGCAGCGTTTCTTAAGCTTTGTAAGACCGAGGAACACCAAAGAGAAAGGGGGAGGGGTGACGACAAGTTATTGAGAAAAACAGAAAAGGTTGCCTTCCCCATTAAGACAGAACGCAGTTTAAGAAACACTGAACTAAGGGAAACGCAGCCGTGTTAGTCTGGGCTAGCTGAAAGAAAACCAGGACTGTGCTGCACTTCCAAGGCTAAACCATCTTGTTAGTCTTTCAGGTGCTACGTAGTCCTGTTTTCTGCTCGATCTAAGAACTGGGACTTCCCAGCGGGAGGGTCTTTGGGACTCGCTTCCTTTCCGCAGGATAACGGGACTCCTTTCTCTGTTTGGTTTCCAGGCAAACTCCAGGGGGAGCTCGGTAAGTTCCCTCCCTCTGCCCCCTGCCCCGCACAGCCCCTGTGTGACTCTGTCTCCCACTGGGCGACTCACCCCTCTCTCTGTTTGGTTGCAGGGTGGAGATGCGCCCAGCTCTGCGCAGGTACTGTCCAGCCCCTGGGATTGTAGCCACCCCGGGCAGTTACACAAACGCCAGTGGGGGGCAGGAGATCTGGGACAGGGAGGGGAGGGGGAGTCAGTTCTCCAGG